ACCTACCAGTTACCAATCACTGACCTGCTTTTGCAAAAGAAACCTCATTTAATCCTTAATAAGAATCATGGCATGGCTGACTCTCTGTCACCTCATTGGTGAGGAGGAAACGGCTTGAAGGAGCCTAGGCCTGGTGGCAGGCATCTCCCCTGGCTGTGCCGGGTGCTCTCTGTGCTGTGCCGCGGGCTGAGGAGGGGAGCCCACTGCGCTCACTTAGGCTTTGCTGGGTGCAGGGCTCTGGGACGCTCTTGCACAGACCAGGCGACAGGCTGGGTGCCCCACCGAGGCTCCATGCTGCAGGACATTTTTACGTCAGGCAGGAGAGGACCGAGGAGCTTCTCTTCCTGTGGTGGCCTCCCCTAGGAGAGACGCATTCCTCTCACTTCCCGGCCAAGGGCAGGTGGAGACCTGGGGACACCCCCATGCTTGCCGGTCACTCCTGGGGAGGCCCACAGCACACGCTCAGTGCCAGACTCCAACAGATGCCCCTCAGGAGCTCAGCCTTGCTGGCCAGATGCAGGTGTGATGGTATCCCGAGGTGCCCTGCGGCCATGGTGTGGACAGTGTGCTGGTGGCTCAGGAGCTGGGGACCTCATATCCGAGGTTCTCACGTGGGAAGGTTTCTTGCAGAAAGAGGTTGAAGTGAGATTTAAAATGGGATAAGATGAAACTTTTTGTGTTTTTTTCCTGGAAATGTGGACTGAAGCCAGGGTGTTCAGCCACTGAGCTAAAATTAAGAGAATAAATAAGTAAACAAACAAATAAAATAGATAACAAGCAGGCTGGGACTGTGAGGAGCGCATCTATGGGCAGGAGGGAAGAGCACATCCTGCCCCAGGCTCAGGGCTCTGCCCATCCAAAGAAGGACCGGGAGGTCGTGGGAGAGGACCCAGATCTGCAGGAGTTAAGAAAATCAAGGCACCAGTATGGGGAAGTCCTCTCACCCTCCTGTCTGGCTGATGCCCTCTTGCCACACACTGACCACGCTCGGGCATCAGGGGATAAAGACTGTGTACGGGTGCTCCTGGGCCCCGTGGTCGCCTGGGTGTCGGGAAGTCACCTGGCCTCACCTTCTGCTCTGTGTGTGTGTGTGTGTGTGTGTACGGGTGCTCCTGGGCCTCATGGTGGCCTGGCTGTCGGGAAGTCACCTGGCCTCACCTTCTGCTCTGTGTGTGTGTGTGTGTGTGTGTGTGTAAGGGTGCTCCTGGGCCTCATGGTCGCCTGGCTGTTGGGAAGTCACCTGGCCTCACCTACTGCTGTGTGTCTGTGTGTGTGTGTGTGTGTGTGCGCGCGCGTGCGCGCACAGGTGCTCCTGGGCCTCATGGTCGCCTGGCTGTTGGGAAATCACCTGGCCTCACCTTCTGCTGCTTGCCCTGGGAGCATGGCTGCACAGGAAATGAGGCCCCTGAGAGGCAAGCAGTTTGCCGTGCTTTAAAATTGCAAGGGCAATCAGCTTCTGTCCCATCCTGCCTTCAAAGTCCTGCCAGACGGGGAGGTGGCAGAGGACTTGGGCTGAGCCCCGGAGCTGCATTCCCCGCGGGCCTCCTGGTATTTGTGCGAAGGCTCACCCTGTCTGAGGTGTGCCTTCGAATCACAGAGAAGGGCCTGCCCTTGGCACACAGGCCCTTCCCAACCACCTGTCTGCGTCGATCCTCAGGCTGTCTCTCCTCTCTGCTCTGCATCTCTGAGTTACTGTCCCAATCTGAAAACCTGGGCTCTGCCTCCTGCCCACCTGCTCCTCCTGTGGAGGTTTGACTGAGCAGGGCCATTTGCCCCAGCCCTGGACCCTGGAGACTGTGGGACCCTCCAGGCCAGCTGGTCCTTGGTGGGGAGAGAGTGCCCTCTCGTGGGCACTGGCTGGAGCTGCTCCAGGCCGCGGCTCAGCCAAGGACAAAACAAGCCTCCCTGGGCCTCCACCAGGCCCAGCCCTGAGTGTGCCTTGGAGTCTGGCTGGCCTTTCTCCTGTGTGAAGGGAAGGAGGAGCCGCAGGAGACCCGGGGGAGTGGCTCCCCAGTGCGGTGGCAGCCTGCTCCTCCAGAGTTTACCTAAGGACAGCCCCCAGGCCAGCGGTGCTGCAAGGCAGATGTGACCCATGTCTGGACAGGCTTGGGACAATTTCTGCACTTACCTGTCCTGACTCCTCTCAGGTGAGGGGTAGATTCGTGGGAGGGAAATGCCTTCCTGGAGGCCTCTTACTAAAAGGGCCAGCGATCTCAGTAGCCACCTGCAGCCCACGGGTCCCCTGGAGCCGGACGTTTCCTGGGTGGTGGATGGTGCTGGCCGTGAAAACCATATGCCAGGTGTAAATGGGGATGGGCCCTTTAAAACCTGCTTCAGTGGAAGCAGTGGGTCTGAGGAGGGCGGGTGCGGGCGCCCATCAGGGAGGCAGGGACCTGATCATATGTGATGGTTGCTGGATTAGGTAACAGCTCCGCTGGCTGAAATTGGATCTCAGAGGATGAGCGTTAACATCTCTGGTGTCCTGGCGAAAGGTTCATTTGAGTCTTGCATGGTGCCGCCGAGATAAAAAGGAGCTTTTAAATAATCATTTTGTCTCCCACTCGCCAGAGTGCTGGCTTCAAGCAATAAATAGGTAGCATCAGTTCTGCTTAGACACACCACCCTTCCGCTTATTTATTTAATGTTGGTGGGACTTTATTTTAACTGACTGGCTGAGCAGTTTCCGTGTCAGTGAATCCAGCACCTGTTTTCACAGTGGTGCGCTGGCGTCCCCTGGCTCTGGGTTGGACCACAAGCATGCCGTCGTCCTTGTTGGGCCCTCCTTGCCCCGTGCCCCATAAACATGCAGCCAGTCCACCAGAACCAGACCCTCCCGTGGACGGAGCGGAAGGCGAAAGTCTTGCCCGGAGCTATCCTTGCTCACACTGGCTCCTGCACACGTTCTGACGTTTTCCGTTTTCACGATTTGAGGATGATGAAACAGGGCAATCGGAGAAACTTGGAGAGGACTTCTGGGTTTTCTGCTTGTTACCTTTCCTTTTTTCTTTAATTTTCTAATCTCTAGTGAAACAATGACATTAGTTTATTAATAACTCAGAGCCTGTCTTTCTTTTTTTTTCAATTTTGGGATGACTCATAACCATCTTTGTTTGTAATGGAATTAAAATTGACCAATAAAGACCCATGAACCCCACAAGTGGATATCCTCACCCCGGACAGTCTCCTGGACCCCGGGGGGTGGGAGGGCAGAGCTGCAGGGCTCTGGTGGCAGGTGCCTTGGGTGGCTGGATCCCTCTTGGCACCATGAGGTCCCCGTCGCAGGAAGGCCACACAGTCACTCTGCACAGGAGACCTTGGTGGTGGTGACAAGCTCCTCGGGGGACCTGGGAGACCTGAGTACATAAGCCTCTTGATCACCCGATGATCAGCCCGACGGGCAGCTTCCCATGTCTCCTGAGCCTACCAAGGAAGGCGTCCCTGAAAGACAGCTGTGGGGCCTTCTCACCTGTGCCGTGACGTCGACAGCAGAACACGCGGTGTGGGAGGAGACGCGGCCGGGACTCAGCAGGGGGGGTTCCTTCCTCTCTCTCCCACCTCCCGCTCCCCTTCCTCCACCCTCCCTCCAGCCCTTTCTTAGTCCATCAAGGCCACAAGTGTCCCTGCACTTTCATTCTCTGTGCTCCTCATGGCCACGGCGGGTCCGCACGGCCACCCCTGGTCCATCACAGCCCTGCTGTAGCTTTTCTTCGGAACAGGATGTGGGATTGCTTTCTAAACTGCTTTCAGCGGTGGTACCTGTCATGGTCCTTGGAAGCCAAGCGTGTGGGCACAGCCGACAGTGATGCTGGAGTTGCTGGAGACGGAAGGCCCTGGACCTCTAGGTGTCCCCAGTCACAGCCTGGCAGGGCCACCTGGCTCGGTTCTGCAGGCAGCTGGCATGGGCCCATCCCCCTGGGGCTCACGCAAGGCACCTGCCCTTGACTCTCATGGCCCACGAGCTGTGTATCCACCAGGGACTTAGACCCTCCACCTGCAGCCCTGAACACGATTGAATGCTGGCCCCTTCCCCTCAGCCCACAAGTACCTCTCTCCCTTGCTACCCCCCCCCTCAAAAATCCTCCTCAAGTTTTTTAAATCGAAAGTCCCCTTCATGCACCTCTCAGCCAAGGCTTGGCTGCCGACTCTAGCTCGGGTGAGATGAGCGCTTCCTTATACGGCAGGTTGGATGCAGCAGCGAGGAAAGGCTGGATCTCTGGGTCTCTCTGGGCCCAAGTTACCCCTCACCCAGCGTCTGTGGTGTCTGTAGAGATGGCCATCCCCTGTGCAGGAACCGTGCCTTCCCGAACCCCTTGACAGGTCTTGTTAAGGGGCCTCGCCCTTGTTTCCCCAAAGGACAGAGCCACGTGGCCTGGAGTGCTGGGAGCCCGGCCAGGGGGAGAAGTCCTGCCCCAGGGCCTGAGATCTCCTCCATTCCCTCCACCTATCTAGCTCAGGCCATGTTGGAAATGAAAATTTCCTTTAATCAAATGTTACAAAGAAAGTTGAGTGAAGCCGCAAGCTCGCGGAAATCTAAAATTAGAAATAAAGAAGGAAATGCTTCTCCTTCAATGGAAATTCGGCAGTTGGAAAATGAAAGCAAAAATATATTCTCTTGTAATTAAATTCTGTCATTCTGGATTTTTTATTGTGGTAAAACGTACACAATAGGAGCTTCACTGTTTGGGGTCTTTTTGAGTGTGCAGATCAGTGGTGTTACGTCTTTCACTGTACAGTGGTCCTCAGGGTGCACTGAGACCCTTTCACCACCCCAAAGCTAAGCTCTGCTTGGTGCACCCACCTGCCACCCCTGGCCTCCCACCGTCTCTGCCTCTCTGAGGCTGGCCACGCTAGAGACCGGGTGTGGGTGGAGTGTGATTTGCTTTGAGCAGCGCCACCTCCCCAGGTTTCTCCCACCACTCCTTGGGTGGCCCCTGCACCGCCCTGGCTGAAATTCTCCCCAGGGCCTTCTGCTCACCTGCCCATCTCTGTCTTTCTCCTAGTGTTGAGCATCCGGGGAGCCCAGGAGGAGGAGCCCACGGACCCTCAGCTGATGCGCCTGGACAACATGCTGCTGGCCGAGGGGGTGGCCGGGCCCGAGAAGGGCGGTGGGTCTGCGGCAGCAGCAGCAGCTGCCGCAGCCTCTGGAGGGGCGGGCTCAGACAACTCGGTGGAGCACTCCGACTACAGGGCCAAGCTGTCGCAGATCAGGCAGATCTACCACACGGAGCTGGAGAAGTATGAGCAGGTAAGGGGGCCTGGGCTTGGCACGGCCTGCGGTGCAGGGCTGTCCCTGGGTCACAGACGCTTCGGCCAGCCTTGCTCCCACAGCCTCTGTGCCTAGCACTTCCTTGCTGGCCAGAAAGCCCAGTCGAACTGGAGGCCACCAAGCCCCTAGGCTCAACCATGGAAGAACAGGCGTCCAATGAGATGCAGGCATAAAGCATGGGAAGTTGTGAGTGGTGGTCTCAGGACACCCCGGCGTCCATGTGAGGAACACCCAACACCTGGCACTCCGTGGGCGCTGCCAGGTGGAGTGGCTCACACCTGGTTGGGGCATGCCAGTCACATCACGGCCACTGCCTTTGCCCTTGATCGTCCCTTATTTAGGACGACTGCTCTTTTGATGCTGATAGACTCCTGTGCGAAAGCACATTAAAACTTGTCCTTACAGGCCCTTTGTCCACAGTCGCAGTGCCATTAAGGCAGACACGTTCTCCTCTTTACATAACATGTGGCGTGCAACAGGACTCACGCCTTCCTTCCAGAAAGAGTGGGGTGCCCCAGTAGACCCCAGAGCCTGACCCCTGGAGAGCAGGCCTGGCAGGTGGCCTGCATGCTGCTCAGAAAGCTGCAGGTACACATTGGCCGTCCCAGGGTGAAGGACATTGGCCATCCCACAGGTGAAGGACATTGGCCGTC